CACGAGGATGAAAAAGCTTGCAATGAAACTTTTTTGTTGAGAGTAATTAGTTTATTCAAAGGTCTGCTCTTAAATGAAAAATGGCTTCCAGCAGACGCATTGCCCACTTACACATAGAAACTTTTTTTCACCGCTTACCTGCAGAGTAAATATTCAAAATTAGCCAAAATTGTTTGGCAAAAGTTTGTTACTAGTTTATAAACAGACTTTACAATGAAGCAAAAAAAATACTAAAGGGAGGTAACAATAACACTGATATGCAGTAGTTGCTACTATACTGAAAAACAAACGAAAGCAAATTTAACCATTGAAAACTATATAGATAATTTAGTTGACAAAAAATTAAACAATTTTAGTTCATAGTTATAAATTTAAAAATAATATGCACTATTAGCAACTAGTAAAAATTCAGCAAATATTTTTTTTAGTCTTGGTGTTCCCTTATCTGATTTATATCAACCCCTTAAAAAAAAAAAAAAAAAAAAAAAAACACAAACTGTTATTTCATCTGAAGAACTATTTGAATGCTAATGACCTTTCTGAAAACTATAGAAAATACCAAAACAGTCATTATTTGTGATGATATTTATATCTTATCTACTAGAATGTAATCCAGTTACATTCCTAGATAAGATATAAATTGCTAAATTGTTAGCCTCCTGAATATTTGCTTTGAATATTTTTGGGGGTAGCATACGCCCACTAAAAATTACAATCACTCACCATTTTCTTTTCAGTTACAGGTTTATCTCTGGTTTCCTGTTTAGGATTGGATTTCCAGTTCCTTCTAAAGTCTACTTCAATCCTCTCCTCCTAACACTTGTCCTTTCTTATGTTAATAAAAGTCTACACAGTAAACCTCTATTTTGAGTGGCTCTTGGGCCTTGTATTGGGTGAACATTAGTTAAAAAAAAAAAAAAAAAAGTCCAGTGTGTGTCAAATTCTGCAAGCCCTCTTTCCTCAATATGGAGCCTAGAAATTTCAACTATTTCTGATGTTAACTATAAGTGTCCTTTTTGTTTCCATTTTGACTAAAATTTTATAGCTTCTCATATAGTTAGTTCATGGGATTCTCAGAATCTGTGTCCTTTTACACTTTATAAATTTTAAATGACAGTAATGCAGTGAATGCCGAATGTTTAATAGATAGAAATGATGACATACAGAAAGAGGCTAAGGTTAACAGATAAAAAAAAAAAAAAAAAAAAAAGAAAAAGAATATATATATATATATATGTGTGTGTGAAAAGTGTGTGTGTGTATATATATATATATATATACATACATACACACACCAAAATGAGAGAAAGAACAGATGAAGTAAAATTCTGCTGGTCATAGGATTTACTTTTTAAAAAGGTGCTTAATACAAAGTAGAGCAATATATTATTATTTTAGATATCAGAACAAAAACATTGAAATTACTACACAATAGCTCTCATGTTTTGGTACTATGTTATACCTCTTTAGGCAAGTAGTAAGTGACTAGTCACTAACCATTCACCTGAAAAGGTACAGTATAGTACCGAGACATGAAAGCTATTGTGTAGCAATTTCAATGTTTTTGTCCTAATAACTAAAATAATATATAATAGCCAGATGTAAGTTCTATGCTAAATTTTTCTCTCATTTCTGGTTTCTTACTTTCCAGTCAAGTTTGATCTTTAAAAATTTAAATGCAATATGAATTGTTATCTTTTCAATTCCTGTTCTTTTATTGTTCCTGCTCCTTAATGTTTTTCTTATTATATTCTTTAACACTCAGTAACTCCTTGCATCTTAGTGGCTTTATTGCCTTCCTGAAGTTGGATCAGGAGTAAAAATTGTTTATTATAAAAATCTATTACTGCAGATATAGGAAATTTCAAATATGTAAAGATATGTTTGCTTTGTTTTGTTTTTTTTTAAATACATTGTTAAGTGTTATGCTTTAAGAGGAAGTCTGTTACTCTTATGGAAAAACCTAACCATTACAACTGTAAAATTAATTTAATATTAACTTTTTCTTTGCTAGTCAAGTAGTATAAATGAAAACTAAGCACACCCATTTTTATTTCTCTTTTCAGTTTCAAGTAACAGCAAAAGCACAATTACAAAATTTCAGATTGGGCAATTTCATATGGTGTAATGGTTAAAGAGCACGTCTCACTAAATATCAATTACAACTGTGCAGTGTTCAATTCATACAGGGTGCTTTACATCCCAGCCTTGTGCTACATGTAACATGCTTAATAAATCACTATTCAGACCCAGATACTAAAGCAACCTTATTATAAACAAAACCAGAGAATAAATTTTACAGCCAAGAACTCACGTTTGTTTTTCTTTCTTCCCCAGATTTACTTACACAATTTGCATCGTTCGGACTGCTGTCCTCATCTTTGTTGCCAGATCCAGCTGTTGTATACCCCAGCCTTCTTCAGGTGATTGGAATTTCAAACAGTCCTTTATTTCGTCCACTGGTGGGAGGGAGTAGATTGTTCTAGTTCCACGTGCCATGCCTCTTCCAGATGTCCCAGTTATTTCCCTTTAACTCAAATCGCCAAGTTTTTGCCCCCAACTGCAGTAGCCAGGTAGTGAACTCACAAGTCACTGGATCCAACTAACACTTATCCACTGGGCCAATTACCTGAAGAAGGCCGAAACATTGTGAATATGTCAAAGATGAGGGCCACAGTTCAAAATTACAATACCTAACCTCAGAAATAGACAGGTCTTATGCTTCTTCATCGCATCTGGTGAGAACCACTTGTAATAAATATACAAGCAGCTTAAACAAGTTCATTTCATTATATTTTTTTTTTTAGTCCTAATTGTATTAACAGGTCAGAAATGTTATGTGTGAAAGAACTTTACTATTGCATTAGCATAAGCGCTTATTCATAGAATAAGCACAGGTACATTCCGACTAGTGTTGAAAGATTATGATCGCCATCATGGGAAAGAGGCGGTCAAGAATCAAGGACCCTAACCCCAACTTGGATCTGAAAGTTGCAAAAATCCAACAAAAAGTTGAAAAAGTTAGTGTAAACTATATAGCATTCATTTTAACAATACCCATTAACATCTTATACAGGAAGATTTACTAAGTACAGTCAAAATTTCAGATTTTTGAAGTCATTGATAGCATTTTAGGACTTTTTTCACAAAGGAAATTTGAAAATAATCCTGCCTCCCAGAAGGATTTAAAACATAAGCAGTTATCCATAAAGAAATTTCATAACATGTGGATTATTTAAAACTGAAACATTTGGGATGTTTTCCTGCAAGTAAATATTGCATTCACCCCTCCACGCCCTATATACAGCTATTTAAATCCATAGCTGCCGAGGTGAAGATTCATACCTTTCCAAAGGGTATTTGTTCTAGTTGAATGAGCCAGACTAGAATTTGAAGAATTCAGACTGAACCACTATCCATTACATGACCTGTGAGACCCTCAAAAGGCATTTGGGGAATAGATGGCAGTACTTCACCTGCAGATCTGTATGGAAAAGCACTTCCAGAAATCAGTTGAAAATTCCCAGCCCATAATGCTAAGGTAGATATGAATAAACCTAGCACAAATATGATTAAGTATTAGCCAACAAGTTTACTAATTGCAACCAAATGTGCTCACTAGATTTAACAATTTGATACATGGCTTGCAGGACAAAAAGAAACATCACCCAGCCAGTTCTTTATTATTTAAAGAAAAGAAAAAAAAAAGGAAAAAAAAAAAAAATGGTTGAAATAATTAATGTGCATAAATCACTAAAATATACATTTAAGAAATTATTCTACCATTTTGTAAATAAGTAGGTTGCAATATTCGTGTCCAAAAGATTCATTGAGCCTGAATAAATCAAATCTTAATGTACCATTGACACAATATAAAGTGTTTGCATGCAGCAATCCTTTCATTTAATATGACAAGGTGCTTTTTAGTTAAGTTTTTAGGTTAGATTGCATAAAAAAACCTAAATCAAAGCACCTTTGTTGTATCCAATGAAATTGGCATATTTTCTGGTTTGTAATATTCCAATCACTCATTGGGGCCTTTGACAAGTCACTTTATTATACCCCATCCCTAGGGAATGCAATGATCCCAAATGGAAACCAATTCTAAGTAGAACAAGGGAGAAAACCCAAAATACCTATGAGGAGTGTGAACAGAACATTGTTGAGTAGATGGCTTGCATAAGAACAAATGAAACTTATCAGTCTAAAGTTTCAGCAAATGGTGAAACATGTTAAGTGAAATGGGAGAGGGAGGGGAGATTCCATTGCCTTCTGAAGGCTTAAAGTGAAACCAGTTTGATAAGAGCTAATTTATCTTACTGACCTAAGTTTGATTCCTACTCATACCAGATTATAAAACTTCCAAGACTTACTCACAAATGAAAATTTGTTCAGATTTTTATGCCTGTCAATTTAAATTTTGAAACTGAACAAAATTATTTGCTTAATGGAAATTATCAGCTCACAATTGAAAGTAAGATGAGCTCCAAGGAAAGAAAAGTTTCATTTTTTACAAATTCATCTTAATCATAAAGTTAAGAGTTTTTTTTTTTTGGGGGGCACACTTAGCAAACATGTCATACTAGATCAAGACCAGAGTAGCAAGTTTGATCCTCACTGGATATCCCATGCTTTCAGTCATCTATTCTTAGAGAGCAAAAAAAAAAAAAAAAAAAAAAAAAAAAATTTACATTAAAAACTCAAAATCACCTTCAGGCTTCAAAGCAGAATTTTTTAAAGACTTCCTTTCTATTAAAATGCATCAATGATATTTGTCCTTTTGTGGAGACAATCTTCATTCACAGAAGAAAGAGAGGAGAAAGGTTTCTAAGAACAACATTTCTTTATTACAGCTCAAATGAATAAACAAATAACAGGAGTTTAGATTATTTTGTGAAGACAAAGAAAGGGGAGTTTTTCATGTAGTGAATGCAGACAGAAAAGGAAAAGTGTATGCATCATTCAAATTCCACAGTCAAAACACCATTTTCTTACAGCTTTCAGAAACTGAATCCACCATATGGCACATTTGCTTCTTTGAAATTGTAGGCCTCTTCAGTTGCAACTGGAGCCAAATCAGTATCTTCATCATCCTGAAATGAAAGAAGACATTAACTTTACTGAGAGAAAAAAAAAAAAAAAAAAAAAAAAAAAAAAAGCTGAAACTGGTAGGAGTTAACCTACTTCCTGTTAATGCACCATGACAGTTTTACAAAAGAAAAAGAAGAAAAAAAAATGAATTTATTAAAAAATCATTTATATTAAGTTATGTATTATTATCTTAACTTTCCAGTTGCCATATTTGTACACTTTCTTTATGAGAGCAAGAAAGCATCAATATCCTAGGTTCAAATCCTGACTATCAATAAATCAGACTTTCATATGAACATAGAGAAAAAGTCTAGGATTTCAGAACAACCTGAAGGGAGAAAAAAAAAAAAAAGAAAAAAAAACTCAAGAAGTTAGGTCTTCCATTCCACATTAGTTCCTGTGAAATCAGCTGGTAGCTAAATCTGGTGACCATATCAAATTTTAAATAAAACTCGATACTAAACTTTCCTCATATCCATTTTGTGTAAGAATTGTTAAGTAAATTACTAAGCACCGAGTAAATGTTAAAAATGGTTTTATACAAAAATCAGCTAGAAGTCAGTAGTCACACTATTCTAGATGGGGAAAGGAGTGGTTGACATGTAAACATACATCAGCTTTCAACTAACCAGACAACTCCCTGTAAAATTCACAACTCAAGTGGAGGAATGGCGAAGGGAGGTAACCACTCAAATTTTCTACTTGAAATAGAGTTGCCTCCCTTAGAAGCAGATGACAAAATACTCAGTAATTTAGTGATTAAGCAGAATCTTTACTAGTTTACTTTGTGATAAACTGAAGCAGAGAAAGTTCTTACCTCTTCCGAGAAATATTTCTCAATGATACTCAAGGCAGATTTGTAGACATTCTCATTTTCGTGAGACTGGAGGGCCTCAATTTTGTCTATACCACCACATTCCTCAATCATCATACAGACAGCATGATGCTGCTTGATTTTCTCAGCAGCCTGGTCAAAGAAAAAGCAGTGTCAGACAAATGTCAGCAGGTGAAGAGAAATGCTGTCACATTGAATTAAAGAAAGCCAATAAAGAAAATTTGCTTACCATCAAGATATTCATGAAGGCATCCAAGATTACCAGGATAACTTTAGGATCTTTAATAGTCAATAAATTAGAAAGAGGAGGAATCACACCCAACTGAACGAGATGAGCCACTTGCTCAACTGTGCCACCAGAGGTTAGATTGGTAACGGCCCAAATAGCTTCCTTCTGGGTCTTAAAGTCACCCTGCATATAGAAAGTTACAAAAAGCATGGTAAAAAATCTTTATACCAATATTAAAAAAAAGAGAAAATTCTGCCAGTGAAGGTGACTAATCCCTGGCCAATAGAGTGCTTGAATCCCATTGTAATAGAGGCCTTGATAAAGAACGCAGTGGAAAGGGAAGTAATAATGCAGAATGCTAGAAAGTTAAAACTGCAGAAATATTCTTATATAAAATAAAATTTAGCATGATGTATTGTGTACAAAAATCTGAATTCAGTAGTTTCAAGATTTTTTTTTTTTTTTTAAAGATAAATACAATATAATATATATTGTTTAATATATAATGGCTTTGTTTACAAAGAGACAGGCATTCTGATAAGTTACAGCAACATTCAGATCCATTTGGCACAATGTGTACGCGTCCAAACAATAGTCTATGATGGAATCTGTGATAACTAAGTTCAACATCCCTGTAGTGGATGTTGAACTTAAGTTTTCAAAAGCAATAGATGCAGGCAAACCATGTGTGTGTAGACATTTCAAGGGAAAAAGACCTGCTAGCCAACAGAATATGGTTAAAAAATGTCCTTCCGGCAGAACTCGAACCTGTATTCATTTTTTCTTCAAACCAGGTGTGACTTTACCCTTAAGCTACAAGAAGAATTTACAGCAAAGCAAGGGCCAACTAAATACATATTTCATGGACAAAATTCCCAGGCTGATAGATATTAATTTTACTAAAATATAAACAATTGGTTACATGTTTAAGTCTTGAAAACAGTTCTGCACCATTTACATAAGACTTCAAAGAACTGATGCGGTCAGATGACTTTAAAAGGTAGAGGTCTTTCATCTGGGTATTCATATCGGTTGGTTGTCACGAAAATTAGGCGAATGTGATGACTGTCAGTTATTGCAGAAATAAGACTTAAAGCAAATTGTTTACTACCATTCAGTGACCTGACATGTAAACTATACCACAAAACCCTGCAACTCCCAACTGAAGTGATTTAAGTATTTCTAACTTTCTGCTGTTTTTCCTTTTTTAGCCACTTAAAAGGATAGAATCTTTTGTTTATTACAAGACTAAGTTGGTCTTGCCATTCCCTTAATCTTATTCTTTTTGAATAAGAGATTGGAAATAAGGAACATCAAACAGTACATTTAGAGTCCCCTTCCACATACCCTGTTTTATTTCTATTTTTGTAATTTCATTGGAAAAGCCTTTTACACTTTCCTGACATTGGATCAACAACACCAGCCTGATCACATCTATGATCCATTTTCATGCAGTATTTAAAATGGTCAGCTTAAAAGCTCATAGGCCACAGAGTTTTTTTGAACAGTGTTTCAGTTCTTCCAGTAGTGTTGCATTTTGATCCAATTGGTCAAGAAGCTTTCATCCTGTTGGCCAAGTCATCAACAGCAGACATGTTATCACTGCAATACTAGTTCCCAGCCAATTGCTTCTTCAGGTCTAGCTTGAAGAGTATTTTTTGTAAAAATCAGTACTCCTGCCACAAAGACTGAAACTTAAAATCCATATAATGAACTAGAAAAAAAAAAAAGGTTCAAGAGATACAAAGTTACTGGATCCTTTATATACTGACCTTAGCCAGTTGATCAACAATAGGAGGAAGCAGCCCAATATCAATAACTCTTTGGATCTGAGCACTGTTTCCAGCAGTTATGTTAGAAACGGTCCAGGAGGCTTCTTTCTGTATGTTGGGTCTGGGATGCTTCAGCAGATTGTGAAAGATGGGAAGAGCAGAGGAGTCTATTACAACCTGAAATAGAGGGGTGGAAGTGAATTATGGTGCAGTTCAGAATACAAGATTATCAAAGAATTTAAGATAATTTATGGGAATTGGACAGCAAAAGAGAGTTTAAAAAGAAAACAAAGTTACTTGGGTTTGAGAATCGTCACCAGTGACAATGTTGCCCACTGTTCGCAGAGCTGGGGTTATCACAGAAATCTTGGGGTGTTGAAGCAATTCCACAAGTTTGGGAACAACATCTGCAAAAAATGTGACAAAGATTAAAAGTAATAACTATTTGACAAGATAATGGCTTTGTTTACAAAGAGACAGGCATTCTGGCTAAGTTAGAGCAACATTCAAATCAATTTAATCCATATATGTTCAGTTCCATTTGGCACAATGTGTGTGCATCCAAACAATAGTCTGTATGATGGAATCTGTGATAACTAATTTTTAAAATTAATTAGTCAGATGCTTAGTCTTTAAAAAGACTTGTAAAGAGCAAAGTAAAATTTAAATAGTTTATAAAAATTAAAAGCTAATAGCCTGCACAAATCAAGATACATATACTTAAAGAGGGCAGAAGAGGGGGTAGTGCAAAAGTTACCATTGATATTCAATATTTTAGACAACTTATAAAAATGGTGCTAAATTGGACATCAGAGGAAAGGCTGAAACAGACAACTTACTGCTATCGATGACGGCTTGAATTTTCTCATTTGGACCATCAGTTATATAGGAAAAAGCCCACAGGGTGTCAGAGAGAACTTCATGATCCGAATGCCGCAGGAGGCAAGAGAGTGTGGGAAGGCACTTTTGGATTGTAGCAAAGTCAGGTGAGGGGTTTTTGTTTCGGCACAGATTAGAGATTGTCCAGGTAACGTTTCTGAGGAAGCCAGCCTTGAAAGAGAAGAAAAATTGCTCTGCTGTATCAAGATTTAAACATTACTGTAAAGAAAACCCTTTCCAATAAGATTTAAGCAAAACCATAATTCTGCTGAAGTCAGTGGAAGGACAACAGATTCTTCAACCAAACGAGCATAAATACAAATTTAAATATTATGGAAGTGACCTCTTTACAAGTCTTATGACCCAAGGGTAAAAAAATTTCAGAGCAAGGTGAATAGCATGCCAAAAATTCAGAAAATCAGAAGTACCATGTGATAATCATTGTATGGCAGTGCATGCAGGACAATCTCCAATGAGAAAACAAGTAGTCCTACAGAGTAAGCCACATATCTTAATAAAAATTGTAAAGACTCAGAAACAGCTGAATTTTTTTAACACACACAGGGGATGTTGCATGCAGGCAACAAACAAACTACTTGTTAAGTGATCAATAGTGGGAGGCTCGACAAAGAAATGCTAAGTGCAAAGAGGGACAGAAGTTGGAGAGCCATGTTTACCCACATTCTGAAAAGACATCACACACAAGATAATACCTGTGCCATAATAGCAGTTGTTTCAGGATTTATGCAATAATTTTTTTTATTTTAATATACCATGATAAATACCAACAATTGTATATACTCAAGTACAGGGGCACCTTGACATGGAGTAATGGTAAACAAGCTTGGTCTTGCTAGAACAATGACAAGTGAGGTTGATCCTCAGTGGGTGCCATATACTTTTGGCTGTGTCACATCTAAGGTATGCTTAGAAAAGCACTATACAGGTAATTTTTTTTATTTGAAGAATAAAAATTTCAACTATTTAGTGGTTCCCAACCATGAAGAGATATACAGTTTCTATACTTACAGGAAGATCATGCTTGGCCAAAGACAACAATGGTTCCACAATGCCATTCTGAGTAACAAAGTCTCTAAGCTCTGGTCCATCACCTGAAGACAGATCAAACAAAGAATATTTAAATTTGACAAATCCAGTAATTTTTTTTATAAATTACTCATTTCAAAGAATCAATGAAAGAATTTAATTCAAGAGAGGTGAGGTAAAAAAAAAAAAAAAAAAAAAAATTACAGTTGCTTCCCTTAGTTTGAGATGTAGGAGGGAGAGGATGCAGCATAATTCTATACAAGACAAGACAACCCCCCCCCCAAAACACAAATTCAAGAGCCTGCCGACTTCTACTTTAGAATTCCATCCCAGTTGGATAACGAGGGTTGAAGAGAACATCCCTACTTTCAGGATTTTAAAGTTCATACACCTGCATGAATTTGGCAAAAGTATTTCATTTATGAGAATAAAAGTTGCATAATTTCAAAATTATTCTTTTTATTGAAAGAAAGTCATTTTCACAGTAAACACCTTTCAGTTTATATTTATCCAATCTTAACTCGTGTCTTGGCAATTTAAATGGGTAAATCTGCTTTTTAAGCCCCATGCTAAAAATCCATTAAAATTTTCAAAATCGTCATGTGTAAGTGTACATGACTAACTGAAAGTAGTAATTAAATTTATAAAACCTGTTTTGGAGTTATCGACAATAGAAGTTTGGACTTGGTCATGTTCAGCCATTACTGAACTTGTTTAGCCACATTGACTGCAGAACATTTTGCATACGGAACCTTAACGGCCTTTTTAAGGACGGCTGAACACAACTGAGCCCGAACTTCTATTCTTGAAAACTCCAAAGTGGTAGGTTTTATCAAAAATTATTTCGAGTTCAGCATGTACATTTACACGAAAAAGACAATTTTGGAAAATTTTACATATTCAGCACAGCACTTAAGCAAATCTACCATTCAAATGTTCATATACCCCAAGAGTCATGTTTTTGTAATGCTCAAGTCATAAAAGCAAATATTTTAATTTTCCCTTTCTACAAGTATTGGTTGATTTCTTTGTGGCAAAAGATTTGGGGGAGGGGGGTATAAAAAAAAAAAAAAAAAAAAAAAAGTCTTGTATTACATAGTGATCTATACACAAAGGATTATGGCATTTAGAGTTTATGCCTTTGAATTGAGCAGACATGCAGATAGGGATTTTGACAAGTTTCTACTGCAAGTTCAAAAGACTTGCTATCACAATCCCATGACCATTGTGAAGAACTCACCTGCAATGTTGCCAAGAGCCCACACTGCCTGTTCACAAACATGGTGGTCACCAGAAGAGAGGAGGTTAATGAAATGAGGAACAGCACCAGCGTTGACTACAGATTTTGTTTGTTCACTGTCACCGGAAGCAATGTTGGTCAAGGCCCAGGCAGCTTCAAATTGGAGCTCTGGTCTGGAGAAGGCATAAGAGAAGAAAAGTTAGCCAGAGTGCATGTGTATTTTTGATAAGCAAAGAAAAACCCCATTGCAAGTGTATAGAGTTAATTTCAAAGCTATACAGCTTGTAAAATACTTTAGAGTTTTTAATTCACTACACTGTAGAAGCTTTTATTTCCCAGCATCCCCTCATGTTAGAACGGAGCAGACTTGCAGTTCTGTATTATAGCAGCATTAATTACAAGAAAGTGGGAGGAAGCATCAAAAGACTAAGTGACTTACAACTCGAGCTGATATACTTGCAAATTTGTTAGAAACATGGGAAGTGCAGCTAAATATTTACAGACTATATTCTAGTCATTGTTTAAAATTTTAAACCATCTTAAGTACCCTTTCAAAGGAGAGCACTACCACAAATGCCCTCTTAAGGATTTATAATATACTTAAAGAGGGTGGAACATTGCACACTCACAATGAGAATACATTAAGATTTGGTGGAGAAAAAAAAAATTCTGAAACAAAGTCAGATTCTTTCCACCTTGCCAATAGTTAAAGAGTTTCAGTTACAAAGCGGTGTTGCTTGCTATTTTAGTTAATTGGTCCACAGTTCAATTAAGGGACCAAAGTCAGTGATTCTGATAATCCAAAGTTTTAATCTGTGGAAGCTCCCTTGACATGAGATGTTAAACTGTTTACTATATGCTGCGGAATGAGCATCAGTGTGTACATGTCTTCCAGCCATCAGCTGGAAGTTCCTTAGCATAAAGGATTTTAATGACAAGTTTGGACATTTAAGCTATGAAATTCTTTAATATTGCAAAGCTTTGTGAGCAAAAGCTAAGCTGTATGGGGAAGATAAAAAAAATTAAAATAATTTCGATCACTTGCCAATCGTTTCTGAAAGTTTAACACCCAATTATTTTTTTGCAAGACTTTCCAATGAAAAAAAAAAAAAAAAAAAAAAAAAAAAGTCATTTTACTAGTTCCAGTGATAAAGAAACAAGGTTTGTTTTTAAATCAATTTAGAAAATTGTAAAGAATTTAGATACTTTGGTCTTTCCTCTTAATATTTAGAGGTTAAAATTTTGTTTAAGTTGAGCATCCTTTTCATCATGCTATGCTCTTTACTTTTGCATGAAACCTTGTTACCTGCATGTAGCTAGAGGTACTCAAGTTTTTCCACAGTTGTAAAAGCAGACATTCCTAATTAAATTGAAGTAATACAGGTTAAGTCTTGGTACCTTACCCACTAGAGAGCAGAACCACCTTTCTAGCATGTCAAATGTTAGTATCATGGGTCACAAAAATCCACAAGGAGAAAGTCTTCAAGAACAAAGTTTAAACAATGTTATGTTTTGGAAACCAAGATAACACCAACTTTACCTATCTGAGCTCTTAAGAAATTCTACCAAATTTGGAATGATGCCAGTCCTGATGATCACATCAATTGGTGGATTTCTCTCCTTAGAAAGAAGTCGTCTAGCAGCTTGCGTGGCCTCAAGTTGGCTCTCAACACTATTTGAGCAGACACCAGCAACAATTTCTTCAATTGTCATAGTGGAACTTGGACCCTAAAAAATAAAATTCAAGTGTTTGGTGTTTTGGACCTAGAACAATCTTACAGAGTGATGGAAAAATAGGAAAGTTCAAATTTCAACCTATTTTAAAGTAGGAAGTTTGTGTTTCAACATGAACATAAGAGCTAAACTGTCATTGTACAAATTTACAGGAGGATAAAAAGTTTTGTTTGGTTTTTTAACTAGTTCTTGGCATGAACTACAGAATTTAACCCTTGAAAAGTTTTGGTTCGTGTAAAGAAAATTTCAGCTTTATAAATAACGTGGTACTCACCTGGTTGCGCTCTTTCAGAGGGCTGATGGCATCATCTGACAGGTCTCCAATGTTTCTCCTCTTCATAGTTTGATCATCTTTTCTTTGTTTACGAAGTTCCACCGAGACTTCATTTCTTCGACGTCTCATTTCCTAATAATGAATTACAAGTTAAAAAACCGTTAAAATGACATGCCAAAATAGTCCGAGGCAGAGAAAATCAGAAGCAACATAGCCCAACGTAAAACCAGACCCCTGCTAATTGTAGTGAAACTCAAATTTCATGTAAAATTTAAGACTGCAATTTGTTATTGCGTCGTTTTGTAGAGAAAAACGAGTACGAGTAAGCAAAAGTCACTGGGTGACTCTTATTTTAAAACTTAGTTATCCGACGGAACACTGACGTAATTTCAATTTACGGTCGGCGGACGGAGTTATAAAATACCAAGTTTCAGTAATCTGACTGTGACCCGTTGCAAGTTTTTTTTTTTTTTTTGTATATATATATATATATATGTATATATATATATATATATATATAAATAAACAAAAAGTATAGGAATTGGTGCACACGGAATTTCAATAACCAACAAGTACTATTCTTAAAAGAATGATCGAGATATAATTATTCACTTATTGGTTTTCTGAACACCAGAATAAGTTTAATATTTTATATTTGCAGGCTACCGATTTTTCACGAGTTGTAAGTGAAAGTAAGGTACTGATCACAAACCTACCATAGATAATCATTCTGGAGTTGCGGGTGAACTAATACTTTTATTACGGTATTCTAGACAAGAATGACCTTTCTTCGTGACATTTTTAATGAAATGTTAGAATTCTTTTTTTTTAAGCAAACTAAGACACTACACCAAACATGGTTATTGACTAGTGAACACTATTCAAAACAGCTTCAGATCGATGAAATAACTAGTTTTATGTATGAGGTGTAAGGAATGTGGCAGTTAAAAAAAAAAAAATTGAAATGCCACAGACTTTTGTCGCAGGCATCACGACGTGCCAGTCTTCAACCATGCTTTTTTTTTTTTAAGTACAGGCAAAAATAAAAAAAATAAAATAAAAATACAATATTAGAGTTAAATTTAAAGTTTCAATAATGAAGACTGAGGTGAGATCAACGTTAATTCTAATAAATCTCAAATTAAAAACCTGGTAATTAAATTTATAAAAGCCTAGAAAGGTGGGAGCGGGGAAAAAAGCTCTGGTAATAATTTTTATTTTTAGGTGAAGGTTCTTGTGGAGTATTCGATGAGGAAGTCAGTCAAGACGAGCGAAGGAAGGCCTTCCCCTTCAAATACTGAAGCGAGACATTTTAAAACAATGATGCAATTGTCGGCGCGCCGGTGGGTGTCAATAATTCAGACATCCATTCACAAAGAAAAATAATTTCTCAGATATTCAAGTAATCCCGAGATGAATTACTAAGCGCAAAAGGAATAGTTTTTCTGTAACGTTTTATTGTTGAAAGTAATAAAACCAAGAGATTTTAAAAAAAAAAAAAAGCTTTGAACGGGGAAAAAAGCGTCAGCCATGTGCTAGCTAGCTTTGTCATGTCATCATGATGGAAAGGCAGTAGCAGAAGGAATCTGGAGGGGGAGAATAGCAGCTTTTATTCTTTGTTAAAAGCTGACAGATATCAAGAAATAGTTAAGAATGTGTCTCCATCCTTAAGACAATTTCTCGTTGATAATTAACAATTTAAACAATCAGCCGGCTACCATAAAAAAAAAACTATAGTAAGAAGGGCAGTAGGATTGGAAGTCATTGAAAGGGAGAAGACTAGGCGGGGATTTTGTTTGCACATAGATTTCTTTATATTCATTGTGACAGTTAACGAGTGTTACGAAACTCGAAACATTGAATTCTTTAAGTCCAGACTGGCTGGACGGTGACAGCTGAGTATTTTTGTAGGCCGTCAGGGAAAGACTTTGAGAAAGCGGCTACAATGTTTTACTTTGACAATGGAAAAAAAAAAAAAAAAAAAAGACCTTATCAATTAGAAAGGTAATTACGATTTTAACTTCCTAATTAAAAGAAAATATCACTTACCGACAGATCTCTGCCGAAGTTTTTGTAGGATTTGAGACGTTGTGGATCTTGTTCCGGCATTTTGTGCTGTTTAAAAAAAGACAAAGACATGTTAACACTTTAATTTAAAACGAATGTACAGCTTTTAATGGGTAAAAAGGTGAAGAAAAATTACTTGAACATCCTAGTTAAGGAAAGAGTAAAAAAATTATACAAAATTCGACATTATTTCATTTTAAAATAAAAATTAAAAGACTTAAAGAATGATCGTTTTGGAAACCTAAGTAGACATAAAAAAAAAGTTTTAAACCTTTTTAATTTCATAATAATATATAAAAGAATTCATTTATAACACAAACGAATGAAACACTTAGCAAATATATAAAGAAATACTTGCCTTCGATGCAAACTTTATCTCCCAATCTTAAGAACTACCTCCTGACCAACTTCACTGGTAGAAGTTTTCAAATAGAATTAAATACCAACGGCTCAGCTTCTAAGTGGTTTTGATTGGACAAATTCCCTCTCCCGCCGTGCCTTTTGATTGGTTAATTTCGATTGTGACTACGGCTTCTGATTGGTTGTATCTTCCTGACTTCGCACTTTCTGATTAGCTCGTGCTTTATTCAAGTCTTGTTATCATCTTTAAAAAAAACGCTTTTTACGATTTTTTTTTTTTAATTACCGAGTAAATTTTGGAATTATTTATTTTTTAAACGATTTATGTAAAAATGTTACATGAAAATCTTACATTTTTCTCGATTTCAATTTTCCAAGTTTTATGACATTTCAAAATTTTCGGTGTTAATAAAAAAAAATATTAAATTTTTAATTGCCCTTGTCTTAATTATTTAATTCCCCCTGACAAAAATAATGTTAAAAAAAGTACATATCTGCATTTTAAATCTTAATTTTTTTATTCGTGTAAAGGAGCGGATGTTGATATATTTTTCGAAAAATAATCATTGAAGTAGTTTTTTGTTTTGTTTTCTTGATGATTGAACATGATTTATTTTTTATTTACTGTATTTATTTTTTGCCAATTTTTTTTTTTTTTTAAGAAATTTTAATAATTTCATCAATTAAACTAACACAAAAAAGTGATGACAAACCGGACAGATTTTAAAAGACAAATGAACACGTTGCAATTACACCGACGAGCTCGCTTCCACACAGATTCGAACGTCACGTTTTCGGTTTTAAAAAGCTTCTTTTTTTTTTTATCTCGCACATATAAGAAAAAATTAACAACAGTAAAAAAAATTAGATATTTTAAGTAATATTTTTCCAACTGCTTAATTTGTCGTTATTTGATAAACAGAAGCCTTAATTCAATTGATGACAACAAATTTATTTACGGAACTCTACAACGCTCTCATGTTTGTTACAAAAGCAGTAAGCTTTTTTAAACGAAAAAGAGAAATGATACAAAAATCACTATCAGCAAAAGAAAGATATTTAAAAAATTAAATTAAATTTTAATTTAAAAAGTTACAATGACTTTTTTAAAATGATTACTTCCTCCATATTTTTGTTTGTTTTTTTTTATCGATGTTGGTAAAAGAACAGATCAGATCGTCAGTGAAGAAGAGAAAGGATTTTTTTAAAAAGTTTACAGTTTTAGGACAGCATCAAAATTTGATAAAAAGTAAATGAATTGAAACTAAAAAAAAAAATAATTGTTAGTGTTAAAAAAAAACAAAACATCGTTCCTTCTTCTCTTCTTACTAATAAAAAATTTAAATTATGACCTGATTTTTTAAATAAGGAATCCTCAACGGGTTTTTTTTCTTTCTACTCTTAAGTTTTTTTTACGCTTTATTATTTATTTATTTTTATAAACATTCACATACCAATTTGTCTCAAAGTTAAGCACAAGGTATCCTAACTACCTAGCACAGAGTGTGATGGTGATGTTCGTTACTAAACAACAACACCAGAGCTCTTGTCTTTAAACGAGAACTTTATAGACACAGACACGCAAGCATGTATTTCATACATTTTTTTAAGGTGAAAAAAATCATTGTCCATCGTGGAAAAATACATATATTATACATTTTTTTTTTACTTCTATATAATTTTATCAATAAAAATCATTAAGGAGTTCCTTCTAGAGATAAAACGTGTTAAAGTTTTTTTTTTTCATTTTGTCATTCAATTACCCACTACTAATCATATTTTTTTTATAAAACTTGACTTGTTTTGAAGATAGTCTCAAACACAAATTTTAAATCAAAAGCAAACATTTTGATTTAAATAAGAAATTCATATATTTCTCCACACCCTGTGAAAATTTTTGAATATCTTTTTACTTTTAATTGCTAAGATTTTTTTTTCAGTAAAACTCAATTAATTTAAACGGCAAGTCTGTGACTGATAAATGGTAACTTTCTTTTAGTTTTTTTTTTATGTATGTGGGCCTGTTAAAAATAAAGTGCCAAGTTTTAAAGAACGTGTTTCAGTTTAAACAAACAGACTTGTCTTACAAGAGATAAATCATTTTTTAAAAAGTCGCAAAAAGTACCACCCCTACCACACGCAACTTTTAGTAAAAATGACTGCTTAATTTCAGCGGCGAGGATCCGTATTCCTTCGGAAACCTGTGTAGTGAATAGCTAAAATTTGGACTGAAACCCCTTCAAGACCCATTTTTAAAGTAATTTATTTTAAAATGTCTTTTTTTTTTAAGATTTCAAAAGGACATTTCACTTTAGACTCGAGCACCGACCTTTGACGCCGACGTGGAAAATACGAAAAATTTAAAAAATATCTAGCCTGGCCACCAGACATATCCACATTTACATTTGCTTGGATGATACATAACAGCAGCCAATGTCATTGTACACAGCACTTTTATTATTCCAATTCACTGAATTCAGTTGATCGAAAGCGTCACATCCCACGACTTTTGAAATGTATGAGAAATTTAAATCCTAACAGCAAAAAAGACGCACGCACCTGACTTGGTCGTTATGGAATTAGCCAGTAAATCAAAAACAATTGTAAAATTTATGACTCTTCTTATTCTAAAAATATTTTGATTTTCATGGATAGTATTTATTGAGAAAAAAATGTGGTATTGTGAGTTAAAAAGATATTACAAGAAAGAAAAGAATGAGTTTTTTTGTACGGTAAATTAAATAAAAATAGGAACGTAAAGAAGGAGGATCAAATGAGGCAGACAGAAGTTAGTTAAAATTAAAATAAATAGTACGCAACCCACACGAACTGCGGTATTATTCTTCAACTTTGTATTTTATTACAAATAAAGAAAAAAAAAGTAAGTTTTTGTTTCACTCTTCAATGTTATCGAACTAAGAAAGTTATCGACAACAATGAACGTTTTACTTCCCATAGTGACAACACTGAGTCAACAGCCGGTGGTTAATTTTTTTCGTCATTGATTATTTACTAGAATTTTTTTAACGTCTTTTTTTTCTTCATTTTAAAATTAATGAAAGTTTTATAAAATCTTTAAAAAAATTAACATTTCGGTAAATAAAAACTTCTAACTTAAATAAATAGCGTAAATACTCGTGTAACGTGCTATGTTTATTTTTTTAAAAATACAGCTGTACTTTTTGCCAACACTATGGATTTGGTCAACGGCGTGGCCAGGACTAGCAGTACATACACTAGCTTTCTGCTTTATATATCGGGTATGATGCGTCTCCCTTAAAATTTAGCTTCAAAATTAGGTCTTCAAAAGTTGCATGATACGCGAATATATACGGTAATTTTCCATTTCCAGATACTCACTTTTATTTTTTATTTTATTTTACTTTTTACACCTGCCTGGTGCATGGTATTCAAAGTCCCATTTAAAGGAAACAAGATTTCCAATCTGGGACCTTCGTTCCCGCAAAAAAAAAAAAAAAAAAAAAAGTAAAATAAATAAATAAAATAAATTTAAAAAAAATGTCAAAAGGACGGTTTCTCTCTTGACACTACTATTATTTTAACTACCATCACTCCTCAGCAATGTTTTTTAAAGCAATGATTAGAATTGTAATAAAACCTAAAAGAATATGATGAAAATTAATTTATATAGTTTTTTGTTCTTGATAATTTATATAGCAAGATATTAAAAAAATATTTATTTATTAATTAGATTGTTTACTTACAAGAATAATTTTATAACATTCTAAAAATTAATAGAATTCTAAAAAGTAATGCAATATTTATCATTTACCAATTTATAAAAAATAAATATGAAAATTTTTTATTCATAAATTTATATAAAATTTACTAAATTTTAAAACCGGCTATAAAGGAAATTCTTATTATTTACCATTTTATAAAGCTTGAATCGATTGGCAATTTAGCCGATATTTTGCTAACCATTCCAATAAACAATATAATAAATAGTGTAAATAAATGATCTAAATAATACAGTGTAACCCGGATATAAGAGAGTTGTCGGGACCGGAGAAGAAGTCTCTTATATCCGGGTTTCTCTTATATCCGGGTTTGGTCTATTTTATATACATTAACACAGGCTCTAATTTGGGACCAGAGAAAATCTCTCTTATATCCGGGTTTCTCTTATATCCGGGTTACACTGTATTTATTATTTTTGTTGTCAATTCTCATGAATAAAGAAAATGTATAAATTTACTTTCATATGTTTAGTTTTATTTCAATTCTAATCATCACTTTTTAAAACAATAAACATTTCCAAGGAGTGAAGATAGTTAAAATAATTGTAGTGTCAAGGAAAAAGAAAAAAAAACGTCCTTTTGACACGCCTTTTTCCTAACTATCAGTCATCATTAAACTGACATGGATTTCATTTCCCAAAACTTGATATAGCAACCATTACACCAGAAAGAAATTGAACATAGGCAGTGCCAGGGGTAGTTTCACTCAACACCTCAAATTGCTACATAACCAAAACATCAAAACTTGAGTCATGTTCTTAAATAGTCAAATCTCAGATTGAGACTTTCATATGGATGCCATGCATGTCACCAAACCCATTCAGAAATATATAAACTATAAGCTGTAATTTTTTTTTTTTTTTTACAATAAGGTTCACCCTCTACAAGAGAGGTATTGTGGAGTAATGGATAGTGATTTGGATTGAAGAATCAGAGAGCCGAGTTTGAATTCCAATCAAATACATTACATACACTTACATGCTAATACCCTTGGGAAAGGTATGAATCCACTTCTTTTCCCCCCATCTATAGGTAAATAGCAGGACAGACCGAGTTCTATAGCCTTGGATGGCAACTGGTCTATCACTGAAAGAAATGGCAACCTACTGCAAGAAAAAAATCTTCCTCGTCAAGTCATGTATTGAAAGATACATGATCACCTAAGCGTGTATCATGCATGTCACATAACTGACTGACTCTATAAGGCCCGGCGGCACTCAAGGTAGAGGGTTATGTTAAGGGGTAGTTTATATGGATAGGAGGGGAAGATAAGGGTTTACTCTAGACTTGAACAGGTTAAGAACGTAGTGATCAGGATAACATCTTCTTAGGAGTCATTTCTATAGAGCAGCGGTTCGCAGGAAGAAGCTGTTCCAGTGGAACTTAATTCTCACCAATAAAAGGGAATGAGGATTGTTTGCTACTATGTAAGTGGCATGGTGGATCCTAGCCATGAAAGTCAGACTTGGTGGAAGCAAGAGGTGTAGTTGTCCAAGCACTTTCCATGGTAGTAGCAATAGAGCAGTGACAGACTCACCACATCCCCTCTGTGACAGAGAGGTTGGAGGGTGGAAAATACTTCTTCTCCAACAAGGACTGAAAAGATGCTTTGAACTCTATCAAGACTGGAAAGTGAGGTCTGGGCAGCTCCTGCCCAAATATGGCAGCAGTACCCCATTAATCTGGTTCTTATAAAGGTAGAGGATAGTATGAGGAGTCAGATACTTACTGGAGCGGTACAGAGAGCTGATAATTTTATCTGCATCTTTAGCGATGGATCATATATAGGAATCCCACTTGAGGTCAGGGGTGAGTTTACAACCACTCCCTAAGATCAATGGTGAAAGAGTTTTGAGCAAGTAAAGCCTAATGGTTTTGGCAAAGATCATCCTGCATTGTGGACTGGCATTATAGTATCACAAACAAAGAAATTTACTAATTAACAAATTACATCACCCGAGGACTACCCACACTGGCAACAGCTAAATTGGATAGAACATGTAACTCAAAGAAAAAATAATGGAATAATCAAAATGTTAACATTCCACACCATTTCAAATAGAAGATTTAGAAGTAAACCCCCATCAATACTTGAAAGAGCCATAACAGTTCCTGGACTTGATGATGTAATGGAATAACCTGTCACCCCCATGAGTGACTACACTATAGGTAGTAACTACCTATAAGTATCTGTAAGTCAACGAACTACAGAGTCTAGCTGCAACCTGTTCCAGCTAAACAGTCGAACTCTATGCCTTCGGGCAGAGAGGAACCTGGACAAGGCTCCGCCGAACGGCAGAGTCTCGTTCGGGGAGGTAGACTGCCCCTGAACCTATTTATACAGGTTCAAAAGGGAATATTTTTGGCCAAGCCTATGAGCTCAGAGAACCCATGTTAAACCGGCCTTGTGCCACATGCAACCCTCGTGGGGGCGGGTAGCTAAATATACTAGCTGGGACCTGTTGAGTACAACTCAGACTTATGCAAGAACTACCGACCTTCCAATTGTAGCACTCACTATTGGATTGACTTTCAACGACCTTGTGCATAACCGTTACCTTTATTCTTATTGTACTGGTTTTTACGATAAACCTTTACTTATATAATCCACCATGTTTGTCAAGTATATATTCCTATTAGCACGGAATATAACACTTGAGAAACATCTTTTTCTAAAAAGTGTTTTAAGAGAAAGATTTTATAAATTTCAACCAAAAACAGTACTCAGTCAATAAATTAGCTTTTATTAAAATTCTAATCATGGCCTTTTAAAACAATAAACACTGCCAAAGAATGACGGTAGTTAAAATAATAGCAGTGTCAAGGGAAAAACACTATTTTGACACTTTATTTTTTTTGCAGACACAAGGTTCAAGATTGCCAAATGCTTGCTGCTGACCTAAACTGCTATTTAAGCAATAATTTTTAAAATACTTTAAAATGGATACAGAATTTAATGACTGTGATTAAACTGGACATCTTAAGACAGAAAACAATAGCAAAAAAAAACTACATTACCGTAAAATAGTAATATCGATAAAACTAAAATGCAAGTAAATTAACAACATTTTGTTTTTCTTTTTGTTAATTTACTTGCTTTTTGAATGATTGAGTTGTTTTCTATGTTTTATCAAACATTTGCAGGTTTTTTAAAGCCAGAAATTTTGTTTACTACTAGTCAATTTGTTTTATTATTTACTAGCAGTAGAGCCCGGCGTTGCCTGGGGATGTAACGGTAAGAGATAGATCAAGTATCGACCATCATAAAGACTGAAAAATAAAATTGACAAAGATTATAGTTTAAGGTTGACGGACACGCATGTCTTAATTAGTTTTTTCTTTGTCTTGTTTTTATTTTTTTATGAATTGGTCAAACCCAAACTCAAACAAAAACATTGTTTTCAATCGTTATGAGTCTATCAATTGAATAGAATTTTATTATAAACAATTGTCTTGTAAATGGAATTTTTAAAGCATACTGAATGTAAAAATAAAGAAAAAAGTGTGCAAGACAATAAGAAACACTACCTGCCAAAAAAAAAGTGAAGTTTTGTTGAAATCGGTTGAAAAATGTAGGAAATCCGATCCCATATATAAACGAACACACATACACACACAAACAACCTGGGTTTTATAAGTATAACTCGATATGAGTTGTCCCCCTTTCATTCTGGTGACAGAATCATGTTTTCAAATTGATTTCGTGCAAAAACAATAGAGTTATTCCAATTTTTGGCGCTGTCAGAACCACTGCAAGGTAATTTTACGTAGTCCTGTGAAGTTTTGTTGAAATTGGTTGAAAAATGTAGGAAATCCGATCTAATATATAAACGTACAGACACACACACACACACACACAATCTGTGTTTTATAATAAGATCTATCAAATATTTTAACAAAAATAATAATAAAATGTTCTCATATATTTGATAATTTTATACTTTTATTCCTTTCTTTTTTTTTCTTTAAGCATTTCACCCCTAGCAATAATGTGGGAAGCTCCTAGCACACAAGGGGTTATAGAGGATTTGGAATGAGAGCAGATAGGAATGATAGAGGAAAGGATGAAGAGAAGGATAGTGGATAGATCAAGGCAACTGGAGATATCGATTGACATTACATTTGAATAGTTGAGATTATAGCTATCAGGGAAACAGGAATAGGGAAGGGAGATCCACAGGCGAGAGGTGCGAGATATGAAGCTATTGGAGTAGAAGAGGCGGCTACATTTAACAGTTTCAACAGTGAAAGGGTGAGAGCGGTATGCCAGCCTCGTAGGCCACTTGAATTCATGAAGCCTGGGAACCAGCGAAAACAGCTCTGCGGAGCAGTTGCCATGAAAGTATTTGTAAAAAAGACAGAGAGAGGTGACGGCACGTCTGTGAGAGAGCGACTGCAGATGAGATGCTAGATCAGGGCCAATTACATTGTATATCCATCTCTGGATCTTATCAAGAACCCCGAGGCAAACAGAAGGGGCTCTGGACCATATATGGCAGCAATACTCCATGCAAGAGCGAATGGTTGATTTGTAGATTTGAAGGATCGATTCTGGGGAGAAAAATTTCCTGGCACGGCACAGGGAGCCAACTTTCCTTTCCTTTCCTTTCCTTTATTTATTTATTTCTATTGTTATCATTTTCAAAATATATATAATAAAACGTGGTACATTTGATGGTGAACTGTTTACTCTGTTAAATATATATATATATATATGTGTTTATGTGTGCATCTATACACTTTGAGTAGATGAAATACATCAACCCTGGAGGGTAGTTCATCTAAGAGAAAGAAAAATCTGATTTTAAACCTCCACTGACTTGTGGCTATAACCAATCATGGGGACAAATCTGGAACTGGAGTCTCTAAGACAGTCCACGGAAATTCAAATTCCAAGTTGGTGTCTGACATGGGATAATTCACTTCATGGCTTGAAAGAAATCTTTAACCTTGGGTGGCAGTCTTTCTAGAGATGTTGTCTCGATAAAAACACCAGGATGTAGGGTTGGTGTCCCACATTTTGTATCAATTACTGAAAGAACTGTAGTTCTGACCAACTATAGGGAGATCGAAGGATGATGATAATGATGAATGTCTGAAAATATTTTTAGATTGTAAGAATTTTTTTTGGGGTTAGTAATGGTTTAGAGATACAAGTCTTACTAAATTAATCTATAGTTGTGGGGAGAAGCAGTGGATTCATACCTAATCAGAATTTAATAAACAACAAGAAATTATGATGTGGATATAAAATGGGGGTTCAATTCTATATTACAATCAATATATAAACTGATCCCTCAATGTAGTTTCTATACATTTATATTCCAGAGAATGTAAATAAATCCAAGACTTACCTGTGTTTCTAATCAGTATTTCATTGATTTGTTTTTTATGGCTTATCAACCCTTTGCAGGTCAGTTAAAGTCAGAAAATATTATTACATTTTAAGAATTTTTTTTAGACATGAAGATAATTAACCCATAGCTGGGGAGAAAAGAGGTGGATTTACACCTTTCCAAAGGGTATTTGCACTTAAGTGAATATAACAAACCCAACAGGAAATGGAATTTGGCTCTCCAATTAGCAATTCCAAGTCATTATCCATTATACCACCCACACATCTAAATTTACAGCACCTGGTATTCCCAAGCGGTCACCTATCTGGGTATTGACTAGGCTCAACATTGCTTAACTTTGGCAATTGTATAGGAACTGGTGTTTCAACATGATATGCCACAAGTCTTGCTGTTCAATATTACCATTTTATGGTAATTTAATTATTTTTTCTTATGTCAGTTTTAACCACAAGTAATATTTTGGAACTACTTAAATAGACTGGTCCACTCTTAAAAAATGGGAAAATTGCTTAGGGAATAATTTTTTGTAGATTAGCATCCATTAGACCTTCATTTTTAGATTAGCATTCATTTGATATTCATTAGTAGATTAACATTCATTAGATATTCATTTGTAGATTAACATTCATTAGATATTCATTTGTAGATTAGCATTCATTAGATATCAATTAATAGATTAACATTCATTAGTTATTCATTTGTAGATTAGCATTCATTAGTTATTCATTTGTAGATTAGCATTCATAAGTTATTCATTTGTAGATTAGCATCCATTAGACCTTCATTTTTAAATTAGCATTCATTAGTTATTCATTAGTAGATTAACATTCATTAGTTATTCATTAGTAGATTAACATTCATTGGATATTCATTTGTAGATTAGCATTAATTATATATCCATTAGTAGATTAGCATTCATTAGATATTTCTTTGTAGATTAGCATTCATTAGTTATTCATTTGTAGATTAGCATTCATTAGTTATTCATTTGTAGATTAGCATTCATAAGTTATTCATTTGTAGATTAGCATTCATAAATTATTAATTTGTAGATTAGCATTCATTAGTTATTAATTTGTAGATTAGCATTCATTAGTTATTCATTTGTAGATTAGCATTCATTAGTTATTCATTTCTAGATTAGCATTCATTAGACCAGTGGTTTTTTTTTGCCCAATGCACCCTTTTCACCATATGTCAAAATGTCATACCCCTTTTCCAAGATTGTGCAACTCAACAGATACATTCCAAATAATATGCATATATTATAGAAAATCTTCATTCTTTTCAATATTAGTATATATACATATATATGGATTATTTTTTATAGAGGAGTTTTACAAATTTAATGACAAATAAAAACATTGATGGATTTTCAAACTTGAATACATGTACAGTGAGTTATTTTAATTCATAACTAATTATTAAATAAAATGAAGCATACTTCAATAAACAAAAAGTTCAAATAAATAAACTTCTGTAAATAAAAGACAAGAAAAAGTAAAAGATCCCCCCCCTGAAACCCTGAAATTAACCCCTGGAGGGGAATTACCCTCTTGTTGAGAACCCCTGCTTTAGACCTTCAACAAAATTTTAGGTCAGTTATTTTTTCAGCATTGGGGAATAATAATTATTTATCTTAAATAAAGAATAAGCGAATATATACTTTTATTAATTCATGTAAATTTTTGTTCTTCACTTAAAAGTGTATGTATAAATCTTTTTGTAAAAAAAAAGAAAGGAGAATGTCAGTTTTGAGGAACCCATTTTATACTGTTTCAATATTATGAACATTGACCCTCCTAAATTGATAAAAAAACTCCTCCCTCAACTATGGGTTAAATAGTAGGATTTTTTATCTGGAAAAATCTTTGTTATTCACCAAAGGTTGTTAATGCAATATTCACTTTGCAAAAAACAAAACAAAAAAAAAACAAAAAAAATTAAAGAATTGTTCTTACAATCCAAAATATGTGAGTTTATTGATAAAACCATAAAAGGTTGATAAGCCATAAAAAACAAATTAATCAATCAATTGGTTCTTTCTAACAAAAATCAGTGCTGTGTTTTGTTATTTAAAGCAATCTGTATCTGTCTATATTTCTGAGATGAGGTATTATGTATGCTATTTACATTATTCGGACTATTGTCCTCATCTTTGTAACCCAGTTAAAGCAGTGGAGAACTTGTAGAGAGGAATTAACAGAAGATAACTGATAACTGACATCCATTAAACATGGCACGTGGAACTAGAACAGTCTACCCAGTGAGTGAAATAAAGGGTTCAGTTCGACATTCCAACCACCTGAAGAAGGTTAAAGCAGTCTGTTGCTACCCTATCCATTTGGAAGATGAATGTCACCCAGCAAAAATTAGTTTTCTCAACAATATTAATTTTCATATTTTGTCTAAATTTCTGGGATGAGGACTTATCATTATTTATACTTTAGACTATTGTCCTCATCTTTGTTGTTGATACTATGATGATGTCACTAAATGAAATAGTAATCAATACTAAAGTATGTTTCTCTTTGAATTTCTAGGATGAGGACTTATCATATTAAACACTATTTATATTCAGACTGTTGTCCTCATCTTTGTTGTTACCACAACATTTCAGCTGTGCTCTGCAGCCTTCTTCAGATGGTTATCAGTCTGGGTAACCTACCTAAAAATTCTGAACTGAACCCTTTATTTAATCTACAGGGTAGATTGTTTGCATTTCACTGCTCATGTCTAGGAACATCTCTATCTATAAAAGGCAGGATGTGTGTGTGTGTGTGTGTGTGTGTGTGTGTGTGTGTGTGTGTGTGTGTGTGTGTGTGAATGCACAGCCACAATTTTCGACGGATTTGCACTAAAATTTATATGCACATGCTCCAAGTTAGTGGAAAGGCCAAGACCAACTTTGCACTTCCCAACTCTCATCGATAGTGGAAATAATCGATTTTTTTTCATGCTTCTACGGCAGTTGTCATGTAGTTTGCAACCATTTTCTACTGGCCAGAGTGAGAGCCTATAGCTGGCTGCCATGAATAGGCAGGAAGATTCTATTGGCCAGCGTGAGAGCCAACAGCTGACTAACACAAATGTTAACTAGCATGCAAAAAAATCGATAGCTGCATTCATCACAAGTGGGAAAAATTTAAATCTGCATGGCACTTTACTCCAATTGGCTCATTCGCTTGTTTAAACTCAACGTTGATTCTGATTCCGCAGAACTGGGTTGGGTTTGAAAAAGTATTTGTTGTTAACATTCTTTTTTCATTCGGTTTTTCCAGTTATGAGTCCTTTTTTAAAGTTGATCATTTTGTGTTCATTTTGTTTAGTTCTTTTTTCGTAACAGATTTAATGTTTAGTATAGAGCTTAGAAAAAATTCACAGTGTGAGATAGGCAAGAAGTAAGGCATGTAGCAACATCAGCACAGCAAAGGGCAGTCCTTTAAAGGCAAGGAAGGGCAAAAATATTTTAAGTCAAGTGATAGTGATTGCTGTATGTGTCGTACGATTTTTTAATCAAGCACGGGAAACACCGGACAATGCTGCTAGTATTGTCTATTTCTTGTTTTATTTAGTTACATGGAATCAATCAATCGGTCCCCTCGAACAAAAATCACTTCTGTGTTTTGTTGCTACTTACTGTTAGTTTCTGTTACTTAAAGCAATCTGTTTATTTAATCTATTGGAGTAGACTGTTCTCATTCCACTGCTCATGTCTAGGGATATTGTCCAGTTCTTATTTTATTTAGAATTATTTAGTTATTACTTGTCCTTTTCCAGTGATTGCAAGTACATGCTGCCCAACCCTGGGATTGAAAGACAAATGACAGAATGTCTTTAGCCACAGCAGCAGCAATCAGAATATGCACACCAGTAGTTACAACCTAATCATCAGCCAAGTTAGATTTAAGTTTACTACAGTAAAGGAGGCAGAGTAGAGTAATGGATAGCAGCTTGGATTAAGGAATCAGAAAACCCGGTTTGAATTCTAGTCGAATTCATTACCTTCACTTACGTGCTAATAGCCTTGGGAAAGGTAAGAATCCTCTTCTTCTCCACCCAGCTATGGTTAAATAGCAGGACAGACCGGGTTCTATAGCTTTGGATGGCAACTGGTCAACCGCAAAAAGAAATGGCAACCTATCGCGGGAAAAAAAATCTGCCTTGTCAGTCATGTATCGAAAGATACATGATCGCCTAAGCATGTATCACGCATAGCACATAACTGACTGACAGTAAATTGTCCTACAGGAAAATGGTCTTATCGTTAAAAGCAATGGTTTGTGAATGAGCTGACATAGTGTTTGTGAGTTCAATCCCTGGGTCAAGCAGTAAATACTTGTACTTAGTGGAAACGGTCAAGCAATAACTGTACAGTACTTACTAAATAAAATAAGAACTGGACAATATCCCTAGAGATGAGCAGTGGAATGAGAACAGTCATCCCCATAGATTAAATAAAGAGATCAGTTCAGAATTCCAATTACCCAGGTTGATATACCTGAGAAAGGACGGAGGGCACAATGGCTGACACTTTGTGATAACAACAACAAAGATGAGGACAATAGTCTGAATATAAATAGTATAAATAATTATAAGTCCTCATCCCAGAAATTCAGACAAAATAACTGTCACTACATGTTTGCAAAAGTAAAAGTCTAATTCAAACAAATCAAGTTAAAAGACATGTTTGTTGTTTATAAGCTATTCATAAAGCACATATCTATTAACAACTTCACAATATCGTGGCATTATGTTAAAATTCAACTGTCTGTGTTTGTATGGTTAAGGTTTGGGTAGAGTTAGGGTTAGTGTTAAAAGCTAGAGTTGATTTTTGTTTTTAAGGTTAAGGTGACAACTTAAGTAAATCTACCACAGTCCTGTGGTCCTCACATTAAGTGATGTAAGTGTCATTCTTTTTTATGGTAATAAAATGTGTAATTCTTTTTAATGCCTAAACAACATATACAGTAACCTATGGTGAGTTCTGTGACCTTTCTTTTTACCTCCAAGGACATTTTTCTTTGATGTGCCGTGTCCTTTCAGGGCGTGGCTGATCAAGAGTCTAGACTATTTCCTGTCTTTAGTTGCTCTACATAACTTTTGATCATTTACCATCTCTGTTTGTCTCTATTCTATCATTTAGTCACACAAAATCTTTAGGTGGCTTACTTGTTGTTTTCTCCCACATCTTTTGCCTTCAGTCCTATGAGTGTTAAATTCTCTAGGCTCACTTTCTTCATCATGAGTCCCAGAAAATTCAACGGTTTCTTTCTGATTGTAAGTATGAGTTTATTTTTGGTTCTTATTTTCCTCAATACTTCCTTATTACTCACATGTTCATTCCATGTTATTCTCTGTATTCAAATGAATA